AAAAAAAAAAAAAGTAATGAATTACTTATACACAGTAACATGGAAGAATCTCAAAAAAAAATAAAATGTTGAGCCAAAGAAGCCAGACAAAAAAGAATACATACTCTTACTATTCTGTTTATATGGAATTCATGAATAAGCAAAGCTAACCTCTCATCAAAATCAAAATATTGGTTGCCAGGGTGAGGTGGAGGTATTGACTGTAACAACCTCAAGGGAACTTTTGGGAGTGATAGAAATGTTCTGTATCTTATTTGGAATCATGGTCACATTGAATTTACATATTTACCCAGTTCATTAAATTGTACCCTTACAACCTGTGCACTTCACTAGATTTCTAGATTTTACCTCACCTTTTTACACAAGTACCTCAGAGGCTGTGTACTCTGAGGCATAGATGGCTATAGCATTTAGGCCCTCACTATATTATGAGTACCATTGTTGTTCTCTGCTTTTGTTGTTGTTAAAAAACCATCTCACAGCTGCCTTGCAAACTCTCTTAAATAGAAAATTTATGTGTATAATTGGGTTCATATGAGGTAAACAACAGCTATAAAGACATCAGGAGCTTAACTTTATTTACTTATTTTTTATTTAACTTTATTTTTCTTAAGTCCCAGAAGGTGACTTTAAACGGCTTATTTTTCTGGAACATATTTATAAGGTTATCAGAAGCATCTTTTTAAAAATGTTTTTAAAAAATAAATGTTGAAGAAAACATTCTGACCATGTGAGCACTAGTGTATCCTTTTTGGGCAGAGGACGCACGTTTTAGTATTTTCTTAACACCTCTTCTAATCCTAACGTTCATGCAGTTGAATTTTTAATTCTATTGTAGCTGAAGTTCACACTCAAGACCTACTTTCCTTATGCTTCTCCCTCTCTCGTCATGGTGCTACTGCAACATCCGAAAGGTACGTAAGGGTGATTCTGAGTGTATTCAAATAATTTCTGGGAAAGAGCACGGATAAGACAGGGCCCTTCTCTCCCAGGTCCTTATCTGTAAAACAAGGGACACAGAATTGGTCACGTCTAACACCCCTTGAAGCTCCCAGGGTCTCGCATTTTGTGGTTTCTGACATGAGAATTCGCTTGACTTCCCTGTCAGGATCATTTACCGAAAGAAAGAAAACAGAAAAAGAAAAAAAGAAAAGGCCTCTTGTTAAGTTTTGATAGTCTCCTCCGGATAACACAAGACCTCCGCGGGTGCCAGCCAGATCCACCCAGACGCCAAGAGCAGGCTAAGACTTGGCTGAGTCAGAATAAAACAGTACATTTATTTGTATTTCCTTCTTTCTGCTCCATGCTCCTGGTTGCAAAAGAAAAGATAAAAGGATGAATGAAGCCAAGGAAATGTAGGGGCAGTTTCTCCTAACGAGGCCCAGGGAAGGGCTCCTTGGGGGGATTCCGTACGTATGCGAGACCACAGCCTCCTCTGGTGTCACCTGCCCACCTCCCAAAGGCCTTACCCAGCTGAGGAAGGGATGGTTCCATCCTTAATTCATCTGCTGTTGATCTGTTAACGTGCCTCGGAGCTCATGTTTAGGAAACAGTCAGAAACAGAAAATAAAGACATCCCTTTCCCTCTCAAGCCTGAAGTCTGAAGGAAAGGCAACACCGACATAAGCACAGACCCTGTGCCAGAGAAGGAGGCATTTTATCTGAGCATGGAAGCAAAGAGTAAAACAACCAGTAGTACTTCCTTTCTATGCTCTTTTATGCTTGCTTTTTTTCCTGAGACTTGAGTAAGTAGATTCCTTTAAGGAAAGTAGATGATTCAGAGTTTCACAGCATTTTGTAAAATCTAAATTCCTCTTCCCTTTTCCTAAAAGATGTAGGTTCTCATCCACGGTGACTCGTCTGACACCGTCCTCTCAGATGCTAGAGGTGGAGGTGGTGATGGGCCTGGTGGGATCCCTGGTCAGCAGTCTTGTGAGACTTAACTTGTGGAAACACAATAGGAAGACTTTACTAACAAGACAGAAAAGTCACTAATTCCCTTTCCAGGGGTATGCCCCACAGCTCAAGTCAGAACACCAAAGGTCACGGCCAGTCTGTGCAAGAAGCTGAATGGGTTCCAGGAAAAGTACTGGAGTGGTTAGTTTTTAAGTTTGACAATCTATAAACAGAAGATGAAGGTGGTGTACGGGCATGAACTCAGCCCACCTGCCTTTTCCTGACTGTGATTGTCCTAGATTTATGTCCCAAAATAAGCAAAGACAAGCAGAAGTATAAGAACTTCCTATGCTAGTTTCTAGAAGTTTTCTGCATTTTACTTATAGAAAAAGTAGTATTTTCAGAAACTGCAGTGTTTTTTAATAGTAGAATCTTCTGTTTATCAGAAATTGATTTCATGCTTATTGTAAAGTCCTGTGAGACATAAAAGATGGATCACTTATGAGTCCTGACTATCCAGAAGCTATGAGAAGAGGGGACACATAATAAGTATCTAAACAAGTAGTACAAAGAAGAAAATGAAAACGTCTTCAAAGGTTGCAAATCAAGAGTGAAGGGGCTTCAGAAGAGGGAGGGAGAGAATATATGATCCTTTAATCTAGATAACGTTTGTGGAGTAGCAGCGGGTACTCTGTCACATCGTCTTCCTCGTGTATTTAATTGTAGAACCTATCTGCCGATACCTACATGATACATGCTCAGATGTGTTTAGAACCAGAGGATAATTGTGAACCCACAAAAACTAACTCGAGAAAAAGCATGTGTTTGTAATGATCCCTATATATTTTTTTCCTGGCCTTTTCTTTACGATCAACCTGAAATCATATTCTGAATTCATCACAATCATAGAAAAATATTGGGCAGCCCATTCCTAATTCTTTATTGACTGTTTTATTACAGTCTCCACATATTTTGAAACCACAGATTGTTAGTGATAGAGGAGAGGGGTGGGTAGGTAGAAAAGAAAAAACCTGGGGTGTCTGTGACATAGCATTTCTATTCCCCTGTACTGAGTTAAAGAGCCCAGAAGTTTAGTTTGTGTAACAGGCCTAAGAGATGGGTACTGGCTGTGAACAGCATGAGAGAGGTTGTGTAACCAAGAAGAGAAATGGCCTTTCCCCCAGATGCCTCCCATCTTAGCTGAACATGGTGCCTGTCTAATCGGTTTGCCTTTCCCTCAGTTCTCCTCTGCTCTCTTCCCACCCGCAGACATCCCCCAGGGGCTGTGGCACCAGCCACTCACACATATTTCTGAGATGCTCAGAGAACAAGTTGAAGACCAGACACACGGGTAAGTGAATCCTGACGAGTCGGGTCTGCTTCACATGTGGTTTCTCTGGCTCCTTACCCGCCCTGAGCAGAACTGGGGAGAAGACATCTGTGAGCACCCCCAAACAGGTAAGCACACTGCCAGTAAGAAGTGAAGTGCAGAGCTGCACGGGCCACCTGGAGCCGCCGTGTGTGTAAATATCTCATAGGGAAATTGTTCTGAGTTATGGCTAAGTATTAGATTTTGAAACATATGAGCATAACAATAAAAAAAAAATAGATCCTGGGGGAAAAAGCAGTGCCCGCACGCCGCAAATCCCCTCGGCCAGGGTACCTCTCTGGTCCTTTGATCTTCTCTATACTTCTCTCAGGAAGGAAATGCTAAACTTCTGTACAATAGGATGAAATGTTTCTTTTTCCTTCTCTTCATAATAAATATGTATCTAAAACTTAAAAGTCCTTTCTAACATTAGGCTATTAACTACCCTTTTTTTAATACGCGCTATTTTCCTAGCAGCATTCTCATTGAGGCTTCGCTACGTTCCTTGTAACGTAACGCCCTTCAGTGTCCTCTTGCCGCCCTCGCTTTCGGAGTGTTAGGCATTTTAGTCACTGTCTGTCTTAGCCTTCAAGACTCTCCATGTGTTCCTTCTGCCAGTTTCCCCTTTGAACTTCGCTGTCATCGCGTCACCGAGCCGTCAGACTTGGGGCAGTGCTCTTGCGTTCCTGATCACTGATGCAGATTTGGGTGCTGGCTATTCACCCCTTCTTTCCACCAAGACTCCTACCAGCTGGGGAGACAAAGAGAACTGGTGGCCAAGTGAGGATCAGAATGTCGGCCACATGGGGGCCTATCCCACCTGGCAGCCCCACTTCACAACCTTCCCGTTGTCTGTCGCAGAGCAGGACTTAGATCCGAAACTTCATGGACGCCACCCTAATCTGGGTCTGCCTGAACTAGAACTAGATACTCAGGGTCCACCTGCAGAGAGGCGTCTGGGAGCAGGTTTGGGCAGTTTCTCACACTCAGTTACTGGGAGAAAAGGAGAATGACCAGGCCCATCTTGGCAGGGCAGGCCTGGAACCCAGACCCTGGCCTGCTGCCCTCCTGGGAGCAGGGAGCACTCAGCTCACTCTCCATGAGGTCTGCAGAGAGGCGACCCTGGGGTGTCTCTCCTGTGCTTTCGAGATGTCACACCGAGCCCCCCACTGACGCGGCCCCTAGAAAGGCTCCCCCAGTGGGAAAGGCTCCTCCTCTTCCTTTCCTCTCCAGCGTCTTGCAAGCTAGATTTCTGAACGTTCCATCGCTTGCTTTCAGAGGACTGGGACAGGAGGAAAGCAGTGACCAGGGGACATGAGGACAGTGCTCAGCACTTGGGGCATCCAAGCAGAGGAATGTGGCCCCACATCCTGCAAAGGCCGCACTGCAGAGGTACCCAGAGCGCTTCTGTTCCAGAGGCTCCCCCAGTTCAGAAGGAAAGTTCTGGTCTAATGTGATCTCAGGCCAGTCCTGCTCCATGTTTTCCTGGGGAGATGTCAAACTGCCGATACGTGACTGTGCAAAATTAATGGGTCCTTACCTTGAGCAGATTCTGTCCTCTAAGCAACAATTGCAACTCCCAGTTCCCAGTGTGACAAAAGGATAGCTTCACAAAGGCTGTGACTTTTCAGCCTTTATGTATTTGTAATGGCAGAAAAGAATACACTCTGCAGCTCATTAAACATTTATAGTTGCCCAACTATTGACCGGAGCCCTGTGTTCTGTCAGAAATGTGTCTCGCCTGTGCCCCTTCTCTGGTCTGCATGTGGACCCCAGGGACCCCCTCCTTTCTTGCTCAGGTTCCCTGGGTGGCAGCATGTGGCAAGGTGGCCCCAGTCCACAGCAGCCCAGCTGTGCAGGCAGAGGGGCGCGCTGCGGGCTCTCCTGCATCGTCCTGCGGGTAACGAGCCAGAATCTGGCTTTCTCAGAGTCTGTACTCACTCAGCGTCCCTGGATGTAAAGATTTAAATGTCTGGAGTTCTCAGGGCACATAGGGTTTTGAGAGGCAAGCCTTGGAAGGTCTTGTGATGGGTTCAGAGTGGCATTGTGAGCTGTTTTCCTGAGTCTAACTTGTAGTACTTGCAAGTTGCATTTCAGTGGGTAAGAACAATTTAAGCCAACCGTTCGCAAACATTACAGCTGCTTTAAGAACCAAAAGGAAAAAGAAGTCACATTGCCTGGCTGCCATGTGTTTTGGTTCCGTTCCAGGTCCTCCAGAGGCCCCTTTGAGAGCTGGTTTGTGTTCGTTCACTTTGGAGGATGGGCTGATATCGCTGCTGAGCAGTTACTGATGTCAGAGGCTGAACCCCCGGAGGCCTTGCTGTGGCTCTTGGCTTTCAGCTACAGCCCACGTGATGGGAGTCAGGAGAGAGCACAGACCATGGTAGGTGGCAGTGCCCACTGTGTGTGGCGTTCGGGGTCAGTCTCTCTGGAGCTGAAAGGATCCTATGTGAAGGGGCCCCGGTGTGGGTTTGAATCTCACTAGCCCCCAGGTACCTAAGCACTGGGTGCTCCAGTCCGTTATGGTAGTAGATATCGGGCTGGAGGAGTGCGTGTATGCTGGGCTTGTGGTCGGAGATGGTTTCCTGGCTTCCCAGAGTTGACTGGAGACTAGACGCTGCCACCCTGCTCTCCTGGGAAGCACCGAGATGAGGGGCAGTCCCTCTGTCCCCCAGGTCATTTGATCTGTTCTGGCTCAGCTGCCCGGCCGCCCTCACAGGGCGCCTGGCCGGAGTCCTCCAGGGGATGCCATGCGGGGTCTGACCACTCCACTGAGGGGCTGTGTCCTCCTGACCAGCGGCCTGGCTGTGTCTGCTTCCGTCTTGACTTACTGCTTTCTTGGATCAGTCAACAGATCCTCACATTACCGGCTTTGTTTAGAATTCTTACTAAAGTAATCACATGATATTAACCACTTTGCTTCTGAAAAAGGACTTGGTCATTTCCTAAATACCAGAGCAGCTAAATACAGGCCTGGCTAACTGTGGCAAAGACAGCTGTTATTTTATGTGGAATATAATAATTACAGGAAGCAACGCTTTGATTAAAGGCGTCGGCACCGCCCTTGCAAACATTTATTTGTTGGTTTTTAAAACTTTAACTGCCAGTGCTTTTTGCTGATTTTAATAATTAAAGGGAGCAAGTTTCTTTATGTAGAGAGCAGCACTCGTATTTGCTTGATGTTTTCTGTTGTTTGAAAAAAGCAGAGACCAATATAGACACGTCTGTGTTTTTTACTTGTTTAAAGGCTTACATGCAGGGAAAGAAAAGCGTTTGGGATTTTTAAAAGTTGAAATTCGGTGATAATTTATTTTGTATAAAAAATATAACACTATTTAAAAATAAACATAATGCACATATGTATTTGAGGATTGCTATTTGGTTAAAAAAAGTGTGCTATTTCTTCTCTCTTAAAATATCACATTAAACTAATTAAGGGAAATCCTAATTTATTTTCATGATCTTATTTCTAATAATTAAAATGTGTGAAGCTCTATTGATTTCTAAAGCCCTTTTATATACACTTTGTATTTGATTCTGTATAAGCCAAGCTGGTAGGTTACGTGTTAAACTCCATATTGTTCATAGAAACTGACAGAGATTCACTTTTGAAGTATAAAGAAAGAAGTTGTCCAGTAAGATTTAATTTCTAGAAAGTTCTGCATTGGCACATATTTCTACTAGTTAATGGGTCCTTTTTAAAATAAAACCTGTGCATAGTTCTTACCCTGGGGATGCTTTGGCATCCTGGATAAAAAGGGTGGGCTAGTGTAGTACGTCCATTTCCTTCCTAGCTGTCTGTCAGCAGTAGCCATCCACCTGTGACTGAAGCCCTGCCTTCATGGTTTTGATCCCAGAACCTCTTCGTCCTTGGTGCCCAAGCAGAGTGTGTGCTGTGCGGAGAGCAGGTGGGCCGGTTCCCTAGTCTAACCAGTAATACCTACCTGTGAGCTTTAATCCCTTTGGGGGCAGGTCTGTTGGGTGACTTGAGAAATAAACTATGAACTGCCTTTGAAAGCATGATGATTGTGAGGTTTGACCGAGCTTGTCAATGGCTGTGCCTTTGCCGTAAAAGCACAATTAAGTCAGGCACTGTACTGTACTCGGTAGGTGCGGTGGCTGGAGCTGTTGCCTCCGCTGGCCAGGCCTGAGTCCCAACGGGGAGCAGAGGGTCACTGTCCCTGCCTGGGGGCACGCCGCTCACAGAGACCAGCCCCGCTGCAAGCACGCTGCTGCAGCCAGCCTTCATCACCTTGGCTAACTTGAATAAAAACAAAAATGTCTGTGTGTGTATACCTTAAGAATAAGGCAAGAGTGTGTACACTTTAACCCTGTCATTCCATTCCTAGGACTTATCCTAAGGACACGATTAAAGATCCACACAAAGATGTATGTACAAGATTTATCACGGTATTGTGTGTAATCGCAATAATTGGAAATGGTCTAAACTTCCCACAGTAAGGATACTGGCTACATGCATTGTGGTCTGTTATAACTGTGGAATAGCATTCTTCCATGAAGACTCATATCCTCAAAGAGTATGTGCTATAGACACAGGAAACTGCTTAGAGTGCATTGTGAAGAGAAAGCTGGAAGACAGAAAATATAGTGTGTAGTGCTTGTTGTGTCCACAATGCACAGAAAAAGAATGAGAAGGCCGTAAACCTAGTTTTCAACAATGAGTCCCTGGATGGTGGAGTTATAGGTCACCTTAATTTTTTTTTTTTTTTTTTACTTTTTTGTTTAGATTTTCTGCAGTGAGCATATATAAAATTTCATAATGTGGGATAAGAGGTAATACTTAGAAAAGAAAGCTTGTATCTTGCTCCTGGAAAAATCAGAAAGCATTTAAAGTTACTGGCATGTCAGGAAGGCATTGGAGGGGAAAGACAGTCTGGGATGAAATGGAAAGGAAGAAGATCCAGTCTTAGGGAATACTGGACGAGAAAAAGTGGATTTGAAGGCATAGCTTCCTAAGTGCCCGCATTTTTGCAGACCCTTTTAGATGGCAAGATGGCCGTGAGCTCCCGTAGATGCCATCAGACAAGGGCAGGCGGGGCCCAGCTGAGAGGAGACGGAGTAAGAGTGGCCCTCTCCTGTTGGAACACTGCCATCGCCCATGGAAGGGCCCCGTGGTGCAGTTTCTCACGGTCTTGTATTGTCAGAATAGCTCACACAGCACTCCTAGTGTACTGGAGTTTATGACAGACTTCATTGAGTGAGGCCTTAACATCCAGAAAAAAAGACTCTCACAAAATCCATAAAATTGGTCATGGGAATTCTCAGAACAGGCCTAAGTATTTTTTCAAAAATGATGGACCATAGCTGTTCGTGAGTTCCATGTGGCATTTGAATCCATGGCTTTCAGTTCTAGTTTTGTTTTCCAAGTCGCAACTTGATGTACCATTCTTACAGCAAGCAGAAGTCGCAGTATGAAGTAAAATTTTTCATGCCAAACAACCCACAGACCTGTAACACTCACCATTCTTATGTGGATTCCACAGACCTGTGACCTCTGCTTGAGCTTTAAACATGTATGAACAGCCTATCCCAGTTTCTAAACCAAGACAAAGGTGTGTGTGGTGTGTGTAGTGTGTGGTATGAGTGTGGTATGTGGGGTGTGTGTGTGTGTGTGTGTGTGTGTGTGTGTGTGTGGTGCATGAGTGTGGTATGGGTGTGGTGTGGTTGTGTGTGCTCGCATGTGTGTGGTGTGTGTGGTATGAGTGTGGTGTGTGGTGTGTGTGTGTTCGTGTAGTATGAGTGTGGTGTGCGAATGTGGTGTGTGTGTGTGTGTGTGTCTGTGTGTCCATGTGTCCTCCCTCCCCCCACCTGACCCCAAAGATAGCAGAACAAGCCTTGTTCCTATCAGAACACTGGTCCGTGGAGGTCTGGTTGCATGGGGCTGTAACTGATTTGTGTCTGTGATAGCAAGCGAGTCTTGAAGGAGCCTTTTTGTCCTTCCCCCACAATATAAAAATCTGACTGCATTCTGCTGAGGACTTTTCTCCGTTTCCTTTCATACAAAAAAAGGTCAATTCCTGGCATGGTGCCCTAGCTGCTTAGTGAGCAAGACGAAAGCAAGTCAAGAAAATTCCATTACGCCATTTGGGTTTGTGTGGAGCAATGTGTAAACTCAGACACAGGCTGCTTCTGTCTGCCCTCCCCCGGGCGCCAGTCCTCTCCTTTTGGAGGGCTGCTTCAAAGCACTGAATAGACCCTGGACCGTACATGTCCCGGCTCTCCCGTAATCTCTTCCCTTTGAAATTGTGCTTCCAGGCAGAGGGGAAGGCCGTGCTCAGCCGCCTCCTGAAGCTGCCCCGAAGTCCGACGCTCTCGGCCAGAGATGTGCATGCAGCAGCTGGAGAGCAAGGTGGGGACCCCAGACTGGCTTCGTGTTCATGGCTGATCAGACACCTGACCTTGAACTTCCTGCTCTGGGCTCCTGGAGGCCACGCGATTGCCCGGGAAGTCATCGCCCTCGTAAGTCTCCCCTTTTCTAGCATCCTAGTTCTCTTTCACATCCCACCCAAGGGCCCGGCCTCTGAAGAGCGTGTACCAGGATGCTGTCCAGACAGAGGTGGATGGGCAGCGAGGTGGACAGCTGGGACAGACCCCAGAGCCTGCCCCGTGGCACACCTTCCGGTCACAGAAGAGAAGGAAGGCTCAGTGAAAGGCAGCTTGCTGCCAGAGCCCATAGTAAAAGCTAGGTCCCCCGTCTCCTCATGTACTCTTCTTCCAGTTCAATACACGACTGTCTTCTTTCTTATGAAGAGAAACAAGACTTAAATGAGACAAGGATGTGCTCGCTGTTGTGGTTCAGAGAATGTTATTTATTATTTACAAAGAAACCCTTCCATAAGCCCAGCTGACGTGAGGGGAAAAGAACAGTTCAGGTCAGAAGTGAGCACCACTCATGGCAGGCACCAAAACAAAATAAAACAAAACAGATAAATTGAACGGCAAAATTATAAACTTCTGTGCATCAAAGAACACTATGAAAAGAGTGAAAAGACAACTCACAGAACGGGAGGAAAATATTTGGAAATCACACATCTGATAAAGGTTTGGTGTCTAGACTATTTCGGGAATTCGTACAACTCAACAACAGAAAGACAACCCAATTCAAAAATGGACAATGGATTTGAATAGACATTTCTCCAAAGAGTATGTACAAATGACCAGTAAGCACATGAAAAAATGTTCAACATCATTAACTATTAGGGAAATGTCAATCAAAACCACAGTGAAATACCACTCCACACCCACTAGGGTGGTTGTTATAAATAAAACAGCCAAAAGGTGGAAATAACCCAAATGTGCATCAACAGGTGAACGGATAAACAAAATGTGGTCTATACATACAATGGAATATTATTCAGCCTTAAAAATGAATGAAGTTTCAACATATGCTACAACATGGATATACCTTCAGGACACTATGCTAAGTGAAACAAGCCGGTCACAAAAGGACAAATACTGTATGATCCCACTTACATGAGGGACCTGGAGTAGGCAAATTCATAGAGATTGCCAGGGGCTGGAGGGAGGGGAGGATCAGTAGTTAGTGTTTAATGGGGACAGAGCTTCTGTTTGGGAAGATGAAAACATTCTAGAAATGGGCAGTGGTGATGGTTGTACAACAGTGTGAATGTACTTCCTGCCACTGAACTGTACATATAAAAATGGTTAAAATAGCAAATTATATGTTAAAATGCTCATCCAAAAAAATAAAATCTCCAAAATGCTGGCTCATGGAGTTTTTATTCCTGTGTTTGATTTTGCTTTTTATTGCCATATAATATACATAAATAAATGTGTAGCTTGATGAATTTTCACAAAACATGCATGCACCCAACATTCAAATCAAGAAAGGACTGTTCCCAGCACCCAGAGGACCCCCTCCTGCTCCCTTCCAGGGAAGGTTCTGTTTGAATGTGAATGTGAATATGAGAAAAGTTCGTGACAAGCAGGGCTGCCAACAACCTCAGAAACCAGCACCTAGCAGGTTCTCCTTAGTCCCTGTAGTGCCGTCTGGGGGGGCAGGCAGGCCGCCTCTCACATGTGCAGACAAAAGCCATCTGAGAGCTTGGGCGTGGCCAAGACAGAAGACTTGCTTGTCATGTGCTGGGTGCCATCTCCCAGGGCCACCCCAACACAATGATCTGCCGTGTGCTTTTATAAAATGCACACCTCACTTACTCCCAAGTCTGCTTGGGTGGGAGAATGCCATTGGTGAGAGCTACAAGTGTTCATATGTCTAGAGAACTTGGTACCAACCAACTTTATCTCTGGCCAGGTGTAAGCTGTAATAGTCGCTTTTCAGCCACTCCCTCAGTCAGGTGATCAAGGTCAACATCAACAGGGGTGAGTCCTTGATACAATGTGATGAAACTGGCACTTTACCTCTGTGGTCTTCCCCCAAACCTATAACCTCAGTCTAATCATGAGAAAAACAACTGACAAACCCCAATTGAGGGACATTCGACAAAATACCTGACTAGCCTGTCTTAAAACTGTCCAGGTCATCAAAAACAAGGAAAGTCTGAGAAACTATCACAGCCCAGAGGAGCCTGAGGAGACATGACAACTAACTGTAATGTGGTGTCTTAGGTGGGATGCTGGAACAGAGAAAGGACGTTCATTAGGGAAGTACAGGAAATCTAAGTGTGGACTTTTTAGCTCTTAAAAATGTATCAATATTCACTCATTAAATCTGACAAATGTACCACACTAATGTAAGATATTAATAACGAGAAACTGGGTGTGGGGGATATGTGATCTCTCTGTACTGTCTTTTCATAAAACTATACATCTAAATCTGTTCTAAAATTATTTTAAAAAGTCAACAGCAGGCACTTTTGAATCATGGAAGTGTCAGCAGCATTTTTGTCACCTGACCTCTGACCTCCTGCCTGTGCCCTGGACACCTGTGGGAGCTTGTCCCCTCCTCCCTGGGGAGCTCCTGTTCTCCTCCTGTCCGGTCATTCTGGGAGTGGAAAGGCAGGCCAGGGAGATCACCGCCTGCTCCGCCCACGGGGTGTGAGAGAACGCAACCCAGAGAAAGCTCAGAGACACCCAGGTCTCTGCTTCAGTTATTCCAACCACATTTCCATCCGTTCCCGGCAAACAACAGCCCACATTAAACATGGACCACCCCCAGGTCTCGCCCATGGAGAAGCTGCTGTGAACGAGGACCTACGTCGTGTCACAGAGTTCACGTTCGCTGCCCGTGCCCGGGTGCCCGTTCCCACAAAACAGTTCAGTCTCAGCTATACATTAACATTTGAGGCTGAGGGAACACAGAAAACGCTAGTACATCTTCATTAAATTTTGTAAGTCAGCCCAGCTGCAAAAAAAAAACCCACCAAAAACAATCATTAAAGGATAAAATGACAGAGTTTGTCTTCACGCACGGGCGTCTCAGCAGGTGGGTTCCCCATCGGGGCACCTGAAGCCCATTGCAGCCGAGAGCTTCCTGGACGCCGTCCTTGCAGGTGTTCTGAAGCCGTTGTTACTAACACACCAGCCTTCCTGACTCAGCTTCCTGCGGTGACCACAGGACAGGCTGAAGGCAGCCTGGCTACTGCAGCTACAGGCAGGACAGATGGAGGCGTCCCCTGCACAGTGCCAGCCTCGCCTGAGGGTCTCGCCTTCCACCAGCTCATCGTTCCTCTCTCTCTGAGCCCCCTGGAAGGAGCCAGGTCTGCCAGGCCTGGAGCAGGTGGTGGCCAGACGGCAGAAGTACTGGCTTCAGTGGGACAGCCTGTCTCTGCCAGCAGCTCTGGCTTCACCACCCAGGGGACCCAAACTCTGGCCCAGCTCTTATGGGAACTCCGGCCCAAGTGGGCCTGGTTCCCAGGCGTGTCCCTTTGGTCTCAGCATCAGCTTTGGGCCAGGAGACAGACGGCAGGAGCTGTGTCCAAGCTGTCTTTTCACAGCCTTCCGTGTGTTCTCTGAGTGGTCCCACCTTACTGAGCAGCTCCATTTCATTCAACGTGCCATCTCCTTCCATCTTCTCCCTTCGTCCCGCACTGCGGCCTCTGCTGTAGGATGCTCCCAACCGACTGCTTCCTCGGGCTCCTCGCACAGGCCCCGGGATCTCAGTTTCTGCTGGCCTTGGGCATCTGCGCCCCACACCCTTCGCTCCTCTGCACCTCTGATGATAATGAGGCAGAAGCAGCCTGGCTGGTGTCCGGTTCCTCTGGCTCCTGAGGCTCATCCTCTCCCGCCTCCTGTCCGGTCCTGCGTTCATGTCTCTCTTTCTCCCTCTCCTGTCCTTGGTTGCTGGATCAAAGCAGTAACAGCCAGACGTTAGCTAGAATTTGAAATACGGAGGTCAGTCCTATAGATGCTGAACTCAACATGAGTTTAACCCCTATACGGACATGCCTCAGCCAAGCCCTGCAAGGATGTGGGTTTCCGACCTCAGCTGCAGTGAGGTGGGGTTTTGTATGAGACTGGAGACCCTCAGTGGAACTGTGGGAGTGGAGTTGGCTTATAAAGATGGTGCACAGTTAGATCAGGCGACCTCAGTCATCTGCAGTGGCTGCGCCGCCTGTCTCTGGCTTGGGGGAGGCCTGGGAATGATGCAGTGGGACAGGAGGCGGGCTCCCCTACTCAGGTTCTAGGTGGTAGATTAACTGTTTTACGGCGTCCCAAGGAGGCTCACATTGCTTCATCCACAAAGACAGAGGCTGCATCTGATCAAAGTCATCAACAGCATCAGATCTCTGAGTAAAAAGCAAGTGATGATGATACAGACACCAGGAGCCCTGCCTGAGCTGGCAGCCTGCTCCCGCCCCCAGCAGAACCCCAGGACATGTGCCCCCCATTTCCTGCACAGCACTCACCTAGCACACGGCCCTCAGCGTCTGCCTGGACTGACAGGTGGGTGGCCAGGAAGGGGTTCCTGGGCCATAGGACAGTCCCGGAGCCAGGGTGGCAGACCACCCCCCGAAGGGCCGGGTGTGGCGGTGGAGAGGAGGCTGTGCTTGGGCTACTTACACATTTGACTGAGGTGTCCGTATCAATTGGCGACCACAAACGAGTAGGGACATTACTCCAAAAACCAATGGCGGTTTCTTAATGTGGTTTGTGTCTAAAAAAAAATCACAATAAATTCTTCATGCAGCTAAATTGTGAGATTCTCACCCTTCCCTTTCTGCTGAGCTGAAATTTTTAGGAAAATACTTAAGGGCACCAACAACTCAGTGCTTTGAGACTGTGTTTAGCAGAACTAACAATTCCTGCATTTCCTGCTTCCCTTTAGAATCAGGTGTTAAAACCCTAGATGCCTTTGAAAAGCAAGTGGGCTCCAAGAATTCCATTTATAAAGGTGTTTGTGTGAAAACAGGTGGCATTTTCCAGTTCTACTAGTGTGAGCCTTTTGCAGAAAATCAAGCCTCAGCATGTTCATTTGCCTTTTCTCCACAGCACAGAATCAGAGCTCGTGACTGGCATTCCAGGAAACTTGCTTGCTTGTGGCCGTTCTGCTGGGAGAGCGTGACCATCAGGAATTGACTCTGCTCAGTGGACGGCCAGCCTCTGAGAACAGACTTGCTTTGCTAGTCATCTTGAAAACAAAACAAGAGCCCTTTGGAGCTGCTAGGAATGCGGCTGCTTTTCGGGAACAGGATGGTTACAGTTGGTCCACTGGACAAAGAGACGAATCCGTCTGGAAAGCGTTTTTAATTTGGCTTCTCTTCTGTCCACATTGCAGATGGCTCAGACTGATGAGATAACCCATGAGATTATCTGCTTCCTTGACCAGACCTTGTACAGATGGGATCGTCTCTGCGTGGAAGCCCCAACGTCGAGAAAACTGGCCAGAGAGCTCCTCACAGAGCTACACATGCGCGTCTAGCCCAGGCCCGTGGGACGTGTGGCTGCCACGTGGGGCCCAGACTCGCTGGGGCATGTGATGAAACGCTGGGACCACATCTCTGTGTGCCGAGCTCCCTCTGTGAGTTGTAACAGTGAGCCATAAATATTTTGGCAAGATCTGCCAATACAGATTTTACACAATGAGAAGACAGGTTCTTGAGCCCAAACTCAGCTTTATTCACGAATGACGGGATTACGCCTTTAGCATTCTCTACCTGCTCAACCCAGTGTGATTAGAGAATCACACTAAAGGGAAGGCTTGGATGGGAGAGCAGATTTATTTCCTTTTTCCCCCCATATCACACCAAGATGCACAACTATTACATGAATGTTTCAAAGTCTTTTGACCAAGAAATTGGTCCTGAACCACTGATCAGTGTAGAAAGCAACTTAGCCCTTTTTCACAGACCTCATTTTTAGAAGTGTTGTAATTGATATTGGTCTTTTAATCTACAGAGCTTTGAGATAAAGCCACACTCTCCTGGGTCCCTAAGAAATTCTTCAGCAAGGAGAGTTTCCTCGGGGCATCCCGTGAGCAGGCCAGGGAGCAGGAGAGCCCCCTCAAGCCCAGACGCAAGTGGTGGTGACAGGGACCACGGGTCCCTGGTGGGCACATGTGCCAGCCCCGCTGTGGAGACAGCACTGCTTAGCAATGAAGTAAAGCTGGTCGGTGCTAACTCTCCTACCTTTATATTTGCTAAACACTGACTGCTACATAGAGCTTGTATCGCCTCAGAGGTGGCCGACGGGAGATATAGGACATGATCTAGAAACACTGGCACAGATTACATATCAGTTGTCTTGTTAAGTGAAATGGGAATTGGAAACTTTTAATAAAGAATTGGTGACTCCAGGGTTAATATTTATTTAACATTAATTGAAGATTTTCTTTTTAGGTTTATTCTTAACTTGTATTGACTGTATGTTCTTTTGTGTATAGTCTGTTTGTCGAGTGAGTCAAGACTTTTTTTTATGTCCACTTTGATTTATGCATTACTAATCTCTGAATCTCCCTGTCTTGGCTCCTGCTTGAGGTATGAGTCAAGTTTTGTTAGATTAGAGTTTGAGCTTTTAGGGGAATTACTTGTTTCAGTGTGTGGATCCACCTGAAGAATTGAGAAAATCCAAGAACTTTTGACCCTAGCCTGCCTTGTGTGAAGTGTTATCGTATGGAAGGTGTAGTGTTAAAAGACTTTCATGACAACTGCCATCGTCACCACTTTCATGTTTCACTTGGAGTTGAGGATGCCTCTCCTACGGTGACTTTGGCTAAGGAGACAGTGACCAGCCTCTGGGGACATGAAGAAAGGGGCTTGGTGGCAGCGGGTAACCCTGGACGCGAGACCCCACTGGGAACTGGCCTCTCTTCTACGAGGACATCCATTCACAGTGTATTTCACAGCACACAGGCAAAACAAGATGGTCTCCACCTCAGACTGCTGAGGCTGCATTTCTGGAAGATTCTTTCCTGTCCTGATCACACGTCAGCCTGTTTGTAGTATCTCCCACTTCCTTTCCACAGCCTGTATGTTCGCCCAAAGTCTCAGATACTTGAGTTGGGAACAGAGTGGACTATCTTCATCCCAGTGAGTTCCCAGCAGCCTGGCAGGTCCTGTGATATAAGAGAATCTTCACCATCCATGAAGGCTTTCCTCAAAGAGAAAGCAGGCCCTGGTTGGTTTACTGAGCTTACTTTCTCCCCTTGCCCCTTCCCAACTTGATAAAGGTGCTAACAAGGAGAGGAAACACAAGCAAGCAGCGTGGGGAAGGGGCTGTTTCCCTAAGCAGGCGGGCAGCTAGGAAGCCTCACCAGCAGGCTTGACTCCTTGTGCTTCTGTTAGGGGTAAGGACTCTCCCAAAGCACAGATGGAGGGAGAGTGACACCCTCCCCTGAAAAGCCAGAGAGACAACTTGTGTGTCCTCAGCTCCGAGGCAAGCCCACACCCAGCCAGCAGGGAAGGACCCAGCAGGGCAGAGCGCGGATGGGCTGGGATGGATTCAGTAAACCACCTCTGCCAGTTGCCATAGATTTCCAGGACAGTCTGGACACGTGGATTCTTTCAGTTTTTTGAAAGAAGTTCAAAGAAGTAGGGGTCCAGCTAAAAATGGGCTCTGCTGAAAACGCCCAGTGAAGGCCACTGAGCCAGGTCCCCTCACTGGAGAGTCGAAAGCACTGAGGCCTGAGGTGCATATCACGTGGCAAGGCTGAGAGTAGAGGCCATATGGGGCTTACCGGCAGTGGGGTTCCTTCCACCAGTGTCTGTACCAGGCAGATGCCTTCCACCAGCAGCATATCTGATGAAGAATGGCTTAAACAAGGAAGACACCTGATGGCCTCAGACAGAATCCCGGGGTCAGCCTCACTGACATTCTCCTGACTTTCGTCTCCGAGGTGCTAGAAGGCTGCCAAGCCCAGGCCTCGTTGACAGCACCCAAGAAGGAAAAGGGTGGCAGGTCTCCGTCTTTTCCGCCAGCCACCCAGATCTGCCCATACACCACGGGCAGGACCCGGCCGCAGGCCATGGGATCAGCGCGGCCCTGCTGGTCTAAGGCCCAGGGCAGAGTCTCAGGCCATATGAAGCTGGAGCTTCAGGACCCTTACTACCCAGCCCCTTCTGAGGCCCTGGGAGAGGCCCCAGGTCTGTCCGTCATTTATTTTTGTAAAATTTGTAAAGAAATTTTAATTGCAACTGGCAAACATGCGTCTCTGTACACTCCTACCTGTTGGGCGTCGCAGGGATGGCCATGGGCACATCAGGGGCCTGGCTGAGGGGATGAGTTGACTCACCATCACTTTAGAGCAGGTCACAGTGGCCGTCCCAGAGCAGGAACAGCTCCCAAGAACTCCAGCACTACCCTGCACTAGCTCAGCCGGCATGGGACACAGGTGCAGGCCCAGGGGCTGTGTTACCTGGAAGCACGGCCTGTGCCACCTGAGGCACGTGGGTGCACAGGAGAAACAGGAGGGACATGTGGGGAATCCTTCCAAGTCCTAGAGGTTGGGCCTGGGATGAATTTGACAGAGGTTTTCAGAGACCTGACAGCAGCTCTATAAAATTTTTTTTTTTTTTTTAGCTGAGCCATCCTGCCACCTGTTGGCAGCTCAGTGGCTGCTCAGCTCGGGCCGGAACTCGAACCGCTGTTGCTCAGAGCTCACACTCTTGAGCGAGCTCTTAACCAACTGAGCCACTCGGCCGGCTTGCAGCTCTATAATTTTACGTTACCAATAATAGCAAGCTGTGCTGCTGAGAGAAATTTTTCCTGAGTCTCAATAATGAAGTTTTTTATAAAGAATGCTGGAGAAAAGACTGGATTCTCTTCTTTCTATAGAAAATATGTAAAATCGTTATCCTAAGAAGAGGTGACCAAAGAGGACAGAGCCAGAAACCACAGGGAGAGAAGGCATTCCCGAGCACCATCCACATGGGACAGTGTTACGTTTGTACAATTGTTAGCGTTTCAAAGTTTGTAATTTGTTTTATATTTTTTCATTTTAAATAAAATTATACCTAATTTTGTATTTATAAAACATAAGTCTTTCTCAGAAAAAGCTTCCTCCCACTTCCCAGCTATGGAAGCTTCAGGCTGCACAAAAGCCTAGACAGACCTGCCCCAGAAAAAGACCAATTACGGTTTATCCTCTCTGCTGGGAATCTTGCCACCAGACACCTAAAAGCTAGGGCCCTCTGCCAAGGAGGAAGGGACAGTGACTACAGGGCAGGCAGGGGCTGCTCAAACTCAGTGAAGTGCATCACACACGTACACGTATTTTCCCATAAGCCTGACATAAATAATATCACCACCACTTAGTACAAACTGAGTTGTTCTGTCTGTTGCTCTTCCCCCAGCTCTGGAGACAGGACACGTCCACAGAGCACGGCCCAGACCGTCTTGCTCGCGCGGCCACTGCTCAGACGCGTGGCCCTTGCGCGCCAGCCTCCACAGGCTCCCGGGAGTCCCGAGCGATGGCATCGACCGGGCTCGTGCTGCACTGTGGCTGCTTATAGGACCCAGGTAGCCCTGTTTTACTAAGGCCAGTGTACACGAGTGGTCACTCTGCCTCTGGACATGGGACATTGGGGGCCGTTTATGTCCAGAGGCATCTGAGAAAGCAGATGGCAAATGGATAAGCCTCATTTCTGGAGAAGCCCCTTGCACGCACGGTCCCGGGACCAACTCTGTTTTATTGGCGTTATTAGCCCTTCTCCACTTGGCCCCATTTCTTGCTGGTGGGACAAGGTGCTGGGACAAAAATGGGAAAGCGTCCCAGGGTCAGGAGAAAGCCATGATTTCTGTTGAAGTGCAGCAGCCAAGAACAGGGATTAGAACGGGGCAGGTGGAGGAGCTGGGATGCTGGCAGTGGGCGGGAATGCCAGAAAATCAGAGTGAGCCTGCCCTGTCCTCTGGCGGGGGCAACGCTGAGAACACACTGAGGAAGGGTCTTCCACACGCCACAAGGAACCCACACTGACTGCTTTCCGAGGAAGAAGAGATATGAATGTTAAGTGCTGTTCTCGCTTTGTGTTTCTCCTCTTTCAACTTGTTACCACCCCAGCCCACCACCAGAAGTCCTGCTAACGGGCTTCTTTCCTCGGCCGGACACTGGGTTTAACATGGATTCCACAGACTTTGTCATTTCTAAGTTACTAATCATCCCCACACCATTTCACTCCTAAAGAACCAAAATTAAAGCAAAATAAATGTGTCTTAAAGCCTTGTAAAATGCAGTCCCACAATCTGTTTATACCATGGGTCCAATCGTAACACTCACGTACAGCCTGGTAGCAAAGAAAGCTTATGATGTAGGACTTGTTCTTTTCCTAGTCCTGACGTAATCATGCTATCTTATCGTACTTGTTTTGCGTAGGAAACGTCTATACTTTGATCCTGAAAGCTTCACACTTAAATTTTCTGTGGAAGTAAAACGTCTCATAAATCAAAGTTGAAAATCACATCGGCCTCTGATGTTTCCCACAGTATGATGACTCTGTCTGCATCAGCCAGGATTCTTGGTGGCAAGCAACAGAAACAAGCACAAGGCTGACAAGAGAAGGGACCTGATCTAAAGCATATTTAAAAGCCCGCAGAATTATCAGGCAGACAAAGTTAGGTGCTCACCAGCCTGCATCTGTGACCCACGCCCCGCTTCAGAGTGGCCTGGTGAGGGTGCTGCTGCTGCTGCCACCAAATCCCATGCAGCTCTGGCAGCTGTCTGAGGCCTCCGGCAGGACACAGGCCTCTGCGCCCATTCTGTGAAGTGCTGGCCGGTCTCTGCTGGTGCATCTGACTGGGGGAGCCCAGGTCCCTGCCACACTTCAGCTGGAAGGGAGCTGGGAGAGCAAGGGATTCCCTTCTGTGGTGCTCTGGCCGCCACCCAATGGTATCTCTCATATACACGAAGGGGTCACAGCCGGGGTAGCTGAAGAGAATGAAAAATGTCCACACTACATGTCATCTGCTCTTTAAGACTTTTCTGGAGCACTTAAGAAGGCTGAGTCCCATGTAACAGCCAACACTCAGCAAGAAAAGGCAGAGGAGAGTCCTAGGCACAAAGCCAGCCTAAGGCTGCGTTTCTCCAATGCGACACTGTCGTAGCATTCCTGGCCTCTCCCACGAGGTGCCGGCCCAGGAGTGACCACCAAAGCTTCCTACTGACAGTGCCAAATGTCTCCTGGAGGGAACCACCTCTGCCCCCACTGCTCTAACTGGTGGCTGTCTCCTGGAAAGATGTCCTGGATAGAAACACTTAACGGTTACAGAGAGATGAATTAGACTTAACAGGATCCTAATAAGACAACTAGATAATCTGACTCCAAAATTCATATGGAAAAGTCAACAGCCAAGAACAGCCAGGGAAATT